AACAAAAGGTTAGAGCACCGGGTGGGCGGGGCTTCTGACATCTCAGCCAGAGCCAGTGTGCCATAATTATCAGCATAATTATCACAATTTGATTTGCAGGAAAATAAATGCCTCACATATGCCAAAAATGTTACTGGAATTCTTTATTATCAGTGCCATGTGGAGAGTGAGTGTGTAAACATAAGCTTAAAACCTGATATTAAAAAAAACTATGATCAATAGTCATGGAAAAACTGTAGGCTTGTTTGTGTAAACGAAGTCCTGCTATATGCCGTGATGTAACTGTGCTGGAACCAAGCAGAACATGCGTGCTTTGGCTCCCCCTGGCAGCCTGAGCTTCCTCGACAGCTGCGTGATGGTTTTTCAGTAGTTGGTGCAGTTTGTGAAACGTGAACTTTAGACAGGAACAGAACACACAGGTTCACAGCTGATATTGCAGATTCACAGTAATACCAGATGATGCGTCTGTGGTTGTAGAGGCAAATCCCAGCTGCACCGCTGCTTGAAAATAAAATAACACTATTACGGTGCGTTTTCTTTCTTTTTTTTTTCTTTTTTTTTGTAAAATGTACATAAGCAAAGGTTCCAGTGCCCCCACCTCAATTTATATGTTCTTAAGACTAAATGAGATGCATTCTTCATCAGAGGATGTATCATGGCGCGATGGAGTTCAGAGACGTGTCGTCCGGAGCAGAGAGCCAGCCTTACTACTTGCCGCGAGTGGAGGAGGAGGTGGAGATCTCTGACAACATCGCCGTCATCAGCGTCCCTCCTCCCCGCTTCAGGCCCGGAGACCCCGCTTACATCCTGCACGACTTCAACAGGGTGAGGATTGTGGACTCTGTCACACTTGGCGCAGCTCGGTGGATGATTTCTGCTGCTCTAAATTCTTTCCCGATGATTTCATGTGTGTGTGAGCAGAAGCTGACGGCCTATCTGGACCTGACTCTGAGGACCTGCTTTGTGATTCCCCTGAACACCTCAGTAGTTCTCCCCCCTCAGGACCTCATTGACCTGTTCTCACAGCTGATGGTGAGTACGGTCCCTGCTAGCAGGACCTGAAGACACAGATGAAAGTCCAGACTTGGATGACGGACAAACCGAACACATAAGTCTTGCTAAAGCTCATGCACAGGCGCTGATATTGAGGACAAAACAGGAAATTCAGGGATGTGTTGTCATTGCACAGACTGTCTGCTCTTTAATCCTTCTCAAATCTGTTATATCTTTAATTTGTACATATGAAAAAAATCTTCACCTGCCAGTAAGTATGAATGTGCTAGGTGTCCTTACAGCATGTAGGTTTTAAATATTGGCTAAACTGTAAAGTTCCTGTAATTCAGTTTTCTATTATTCACTGGCAGAGACTAGCAGAGACTATGCAACAATATCAGCTTAACTGAAACGTAGGTTCTTGACAGGAAAGTAAAGATGATAAATGAGCGACTGTCACCCACAGGCTTGTCCCCTTCTTCCTTTATTCATGCAGTAAACTAGAAGTACGCTGCATTTATACTGCATACTTGTATTCAAAAAGTCTCCATATTCTAATAGGGACTTTTTAAAAATCATTGATGTAGTGTTGGGTAGTTTTAGCATGTGAAGGTGGAAAAAGCTTGGCCGAGTTTAGTTTGCTTAGTGAGGAAATCAGGAAATTTCAACACTTGGTGTAGAGTTGTTTCACAAATCTAGGGATGATTCATCACCTTTTTAAAAAAAAATTATTCAGTTTTCACTGATCTGTTTTATCTGGTGGAAGATCAAAAGTAATTTTTTAATTTAAAAAGGTGCCCTGACAGTCTCATGTTCTGGTCTTTGTTCCAGTCTGACTCTTACCGCAGCTACCTGGTGCACGAGGACCTGGTGGTGACGGAGCGCATTGATGATGTCAAACCCCTGGGCTTTTATATCCGCCGTCTTTGTGATGGAAAAGAAACGTACAGAATGCAGCGCCGTGCCAGCCTGCCAGGTATAGATGTGGGGGGAAAAACCTCTGATTAACATGCAGCTCTGTGGCAACCCCTCAGAAATAAGGGTGCAGACCAGAGGAACTTGTGTATATAACATGCATGTCTTTAACTGTATTAAGCTGTAATATATAATCCTCTTTAATCTTTATATTACTTAATTATATTATTTAATCTTTAATTACAACATCACTGCTGTTATGCAAGATTTTTTGCTTTACTCAGCAAGTGCAAACTGAACAGTTTGAGTTTGCAACTTTTCTATCCTGTGCTTGTCTCGTATTTTAGAAAGGAAGCTACTTGGCTGACATAAGCTCTTTCATTTTTTTTTTTTTTTGGTCAATCTGGTTATGGTTAGGATAAATAACCAGAACGTCAAAATTAATGTCTGTATATAAAATATATCTGAAACTGGACTTTGTCTTACAGTTTCAGGATCATTTGCATTCATGACTACATGTAGAGCTGTTAAGTCATAAGCTAACATTAGCGGTAGCTAATGGTAATAAATAACCACACAGTCAAAATTAGTTCTTGTATTTAAAAGACGAATGCCCCCAACAGGACTGTGCTCTTTAGTTTCAGGACTACAGGTTTGTAGTCATGAGTTAAGCTTTTTGGTAATACCGTGGTGCTGCTTAGTCATAAGCTAACATTAGCGGTAGCTAATAGTAATAAATAGCCACACAATGAAAATTAGTGCTAGTATTTAAAAGACAGACCCCACCAACATGACTGTGCTCTTTAGTTTCAGGACTACAGATTTGTAGTCATGAGTTAAGCTTTTCGGTAATATTGATGTAGTAGTGTTGTCAATTAATCAGCTAACATTAGCGCTAGCTAATGGTAATTAAATAACCACACAGTCAAAATTAGTTCTTGTATTTAAAAGACGGATGCCCCCAACATGACTGTGCTCTGTAGTTTCAGGAGTACAGGTTTGTAGTCATGAGTTAAGCTTTTCAGTAATATTGATGTAGTAGTGTTGTCAAGTAATCGGCTAACATTAGCGCTAGCTAAAAAAATAGCCAGACCATGAAAATTACTGTACTGTACTGTATTTCACACTATCTATTTATAAAACTGTATGAGCTAGCTTGTTTAGCAGAGTGTTAGTGTAATTTACTATGATTCTATCTTTTGGCTAACAGAAACAGCTTTCAAACAAAATATGCTGACCACAACATAAATGAAGCAAGCTGTCACATAATGCAGCTACAACTTTAGGCCTTCATACATTTCTGATGGTTGAGTTATATAAACATGTATCCCTGTATAGTTCTTATCAAGGATGAAGTTAGCTGCTGACATTGATAACTTTTTATTTACTAGGTACACATTAATATTGATTTTGGAGTCACTAATCACTATGGCTCAAACAGAAACTGCTGACTTATCAAGTAGATGCATAAATTATACAGTGTTAAACCCACTTTGGTTAGAAACCAAATAAGAGGACGAGTGTAAACAGGCACCAACCATGCTTGACACATCTTCCTAAATGTAGTTGTGTTTGAAATGTGTCAAACACGCCCACGGCTGAATATTGAGATGAATACTTAGCACTGCTGCTTATCTGTCTTTTTATTTGTCAGGTGGAGGCATCCAGAAGCGCTCTGCGGACGAATGTTTCACCATCCATCACTTTGAGAACAAGTTTGTGACTGAGACCCGCATCTGCAAGGCTTAAGCATGAATATAGGTCATAGAGAGCGAGAGAGGGTAGGTGGGAGTGGGCGGTGAAGGGAACAGCAGAAAGTTACTTCTGTACAAAACTCTTTCCAGTTTTTGCCTCCCCTGCTTTTAATCTAGTGTTGAGTGAATTTAAGTTGCAGCATTAGAGCCTAGCCCCCTTCTCCTCTGATGTACTCCCTCAAACCCGTGATATGTCACAAGTGCGTAAGTATTCACTAGCTAGTCTTGTACTGGTTATTACTTTAAGTCAGTAAGCTAAAGTTAGATATACAAGTTTCATTTATTACGTTGCTTTCTGTTTTGTTGCTGTAGTTTCCTGCAGACAGATCGTATTGATGTTACTATATAACGACACATCCGCCTCATCCAGAGCAGAGCTATTAGTCATCCTACTGAATATTCTAGTGAGATCATATTAGGCGTGTGTTGCGTCAACCTCCTGTCGCCGCTCTGACCCGGGTGCACGGTGCAGGTTCGACCAGGTATTTGTATTCTGTTACAGAGTGATATAGCACAAGTCAGCATGGAGATGTCTGGTACAGTATACGTGTAACATGCTTGTCCGTGGATGGTAACGCAACGCTCTCAGTCACCACTGTTTGTAGATATCCCCCAGAGTACCGCTGTGTGATGACTTTAGTGTTACCGATGGTCTCATACCTGATGGGAAACAGTCCAGCACCCTTACAATATATGACCAGTTTTTGTGTTTGTGTTTCAAACTTCATGCGTGATCCTAAACCAGAGTGATGAGCTAACAATGAATAAGCTAAAGGGAAATTTCACTTAATTTGACTTGAAAACAGTCGGTTATCTAATTTGACTATTATGCATCCGTAGTGTTATAACACGAGATGGCTCCCTGTGATCTTTACACACATCGTGTGCTTAAATGGAAAACAGTCGTCCTTGATTTCTGAAGTCTGTCGAGCACATTTTAAGTCATTTTTTAGTGATTTCCTACTTGATGCCTGCACAGAGAGACAATCAACAGGAAGTGTGTTTGTAAAGATGGGGTTTCTGTCTCTGCTTTTTAATTGAATACTAGAAGATATTAGGGGGGGGAACGCCCAATGTTGTGTGCAACTACTGAACTGAACTCCACTTTGTTGTTTGAATAAAGTTGCATTTCTTTACCTACTGAACGTCGCAGTGGCTTTGTTATTATAATGGCGGTGAAAGCGGCACCAACACTAACCCTTTTATCATCCTGCGAAGGACATCGGGTTATCAAAACACTGGATCTGGAGGAAAACTGTCGCTGCGTTTCGGGGTTTTCCTCTCTTTCACTTGCTGACACTACTCGCCCTTCATCGAGGAAATGCAAATTGAGAGGGGGAAGGGGGAAAAAAACATTTATTGAGAAATAAATAGGTTTAAAAAAATAACATTTTAAAACTCTACTTCCATATTTTCACATTCCCGTTTCAGCATAAATGTTATTTCCATAGTTTGCAGGAAGTTGAAGTTTGCATAGTCTTCAGTCTCAGTGGTTGCGGGGAGGCTGTTGCCACCAGCAGTTTAGTCCTCCTCTTCGTCCTGTTCTCCGGTTATACAGGACAGACGCCGGCTGAGATGTATGCTCTCCGGTATCTCTGGCTTGCTCAGTCGCCTCCAGAATTCATCAGTAGTGAAATAGTACATGATAGGGTCCAGGCTGCAGTTCAGGCTGGCCAGGCAGAGTGTGACCGGGTGACTTCGAAGAACCAGTTTCTGAAAGTCACAGCTGGTAACTTTCTTAGCTTTGACCATAAGGTCGAGAGGCATCGTGGCGTGGTATGGTACAAAGCACACTAAGAAGACTACAGCACAGCTTAGTATCATCCTCAGCGCTCTCTTTTTCTCCCCTCTGTCAGAAATAGCATTTGCTGTATTTTCCCGCAGGCTCCAAATAGTCATGCACGTGCAGCCTAGCACCAAAACGAGAGGGACGAAGAAGCCGAACAGCTCTAGTAAAATCAAGAGGGCCCACATTGCCGAAGGACCGATATCCTTCCGCAGAGGCAGCTCCGTGAAACACTTATTTGTGTCGTTCCTTTCGGGCAAGGAAGGATCGTGTCTGAGCAGAGGGAATCCGAGGCAGACGGTACAGATGATCAGCCAGATGATCCCACATATTAACACGTCTCCTTTTTGTCGACCCGAGTTGTACAACAGCGGACGCATGATGAGCTCACAGCGACGTATGCTGACGAAAACCAGGAAGTAGATGGAGGTATACATGTTGACGTACTTGAGATAGAAGCAGAACATGCAGAAGAAATACCCAAAGGGCCAGGAGTTATTCAGGTAGTAATAGATCCGCAGAGGCAAAGAGAGCACCTGAGGAGAGGCCAGAGTGACAAAATTGAAGGCAGAGAACAGCAGGCAAATGCTGATGTACATATTTGCTCTTTGGCGATGATAGTAAGGAGCTCGCTTGGTTATCTAGTAAACAGAAACATTTCTAAATAGATTTTTAAAATAAAATCCTCCCCATTAGGCAGTTCATTGGAATAAAGAGATGAACTTCTGTAGCTGTTGTGTTCTATAATGGAAGTTTTTTCTTGTGGTTGGAATTCTCCCACAACTCTGCCAACATCTAAGAGTCATTTTGTTTTTTTGACTTCCCAATTTAGTACATGAAAGCAGAACAAAAACTAAAGAGGTCATTACACTAATTTGCTTTATTGCAGTTTTAAAACCGTATTGTAGGATCAGCATTACAACACTAAATGTAACTATTAGAGGCACGAGTAGTGTAACAAGTACTTCTTGCATGCAAACTTCTTCCCTGATTAAAGCTTGACCCCTGAGGAGGGCTATGTGGTCACTTAACCACACAACCACATCATGTGACTTCACAGTAATGGTTTAAACTAGAAAGTAAGTGCGAAATACGACTAAAGAGGATTTTTTACCTGCAGTAGGTCGGCCACAGCCAGGTTCATCATGAACACCACGGCCTTCTTGGTCTCTCTGATGTAGGCCCTGAACACCCACAGCGCCAGCACGTTACCCAGCAGGCCCGGTGCTAAGATCACACTGTACACCACGGCATACAAATGGTGCTGGTAGTCTATTATCTCACTGGTATTGGAGCAGTTCATATTAGGAGAACTGACATTCATGTCAGTGTTAAGATGAGCTGCCTTGCAAACCAGCAGGAAGCTTGTATCAGCAGAGCTGCTTGTAGTCCGGTGACGGGTTGGTTTGAGCATCCATGCCGCTGGTTACATCATGCTGCAGCCCGTGCAGCTGGTACTCTCTGCGGCATGTCAGACAGAGGAAGAATGTCTTTTAAGTTTTTGTCCAGCGCTGATGTGTCCTCCAGGCTTCTCTGCAATCCCCAAAAAGTCTGGTGGTCTGGTAGAGGAAAGAAAAGTAAGTTAAGTTAGTGTAGTCGGAGGTGGAAAGTGTTACCAGAAAGAGGAAGAAAAACAACAAGAAGGTTTCTGTGCTGTCACCTCACACCAAGAGGTTCTGTCTCTGCCTGTGTTTTCTCACACACTGTAGTACAAATCAGCTCTTGACAGCAACACAGTTGAGTTTTAACTGCTTTATCTTTTGCCCAGTGCAGCATGGGGATATTAAAGTTACTGTTTTGCATGTTGCATAGATAGCCATCAGAATTGGAGAAGGAACATTTTTAGATGAGACACAGATGACATTGTGCTCGGCGGCAGCACCTGCCAGCTATAATCTCCCATGTGTTTTTATGAATAACGTAATTAATCAATGATCCTTGATAGCAGTGTTTTTGCAGTGCCCTTTGCAGCAAGCGTGCAAACCCGCAGAGAAGTCGGTAAAATCCCCCACGTGCTGCTTCACTGCCGAGCATTATGGTGCCTGCACCGAGTCTGTGTGAAATAACTACGGCGCAAGGCATCGAAGTGAAACTAGCGTGGTTAGCGCAGGCAGACCAGGCAACTGGTTAACAGCCCAGATCAAGGAAAAACCTGTCACTAAAGGGCACTTTGAGATGAGGAGCAGCACTGCGGGTGGTTTTTCGATGTAGGTGACGCCTGTAACGCGCTTCTTTTTTTCCCTCCTCCTTTGTGACATACACACAGAGCAGAAAATGAAAGTAATAGAGATGAAATTTTAAAGCTTTTAGATGACCTTCAACTTAGATTATCTTCAAATGCTTTCGGTTCAAATGGAAATAGTAATGTTAGGGACTGAACGGCCTATAGGTGCACACACCCACAGCTATAAACTTTAGTGCGTGTAAACCAGTTTAAAATTATGTTTTTTTACTTACTCGTTGAACTGTTGTCATCCTCTTTTTGATCAGCTTTTGTTTCTTGTTATCTTATTTCTAATGAGACTTATCAGACCCTAGCAAACCTAGGAACAATGTGGTGTTGTGATCTTCCACATACCTAGTACCCAGACACCTGCTATGCTCAAATAAGAATGTATGAAGAAATATAAATATAAGTATATATATA